GCTTGCTGTAATAGAATGAGTGGAGTCTAGTGGTGACATACTGCTTTGGCTATTGTTGATTGTATTCTTACACCTGTGTTTAGGCACCTGTGTTTGAGGTGATTAAAGATATAGTGAGAATTTCTGAGTTTGTCTTTGTTGGATTTGCATAGAGGGTCTCCAGCAAAGCTGGAGCCTGAACTTCTCATGGATCTGTGGTCCAGCAGGAGGTTTCTGCCTGAGTTGGGGGCTAGAGATCTGATAGACTTGGACGTGTGGGAAAAATAGGGTGATGATGAGAGAAGGAGCTATTGGAGTTATACTGTAAGAGTTCTGGGGTGTAAGGGTGTGTTGGTGGTCCAAGAGTGGGGGCTTTTCCTTGGGATCTGGCTGCTGGTGTGGCATCTGTTGGAGCAGGTGCCTTCTGTCAGAACATCAGAAGTACTATAATTTTAATCACTTATGGCATTGATTGGCCCTCTGATACCATGGATGCCATTCTAGTGATGTTTGTGAATATATTGTTTCATTTTCCCCAGAGACAAAGTAAAATGTAATTAACATAGAAGATGCATTCTATATGGGATTCTGGGTGACAAAAGACTAATTTTATAGTTAAAAGTCTTAAAGAAGAGTACCTGGACTTGCATTGCTCAGCATTCATTTTGAGTGTACAGGTGTTAGTGCTTTTCTTCTTTAACACACAAAAGACAGCACATAATGAAGAGTTTAACCAAACACATCCAAACAGCATCTGGCACTGTGTTGTTTTTGTGGATCCCTTTAAATTCGTAGACTAATGTTTATCCATAGCCCAAAGAAATGAACTTGTGAGTAAGATAGCAGCTAGATGACTATTGGTAGTTCCGTGAAGCACTGAGATTGCAGATACATGGTGTTAAACACAGGAGTGTAAATGGGCATTAAAGGATTAAGTTCAAAGCATTGGAATTATTTATAAATGGGAAAATTTCAAACTATACCAATATAGATTGTAGAAGGATACATTTTCCCTCTGGAACTACCTTAGTAGCACTTACAAAATTTAGATCAAGACACTTAAAAAATATGCAGATTCTTTCCATTTACAGAAATCTTTTATAAAGAAACTATCAGATCTGTAACAAAAATTCAATGACTGTGACGCTTACTGCAACCTAATTATTTAAGGAAAAGCAAATAGTTCTAATCCCTTGTGTTGGATAATTCATTGTGCTGTCATTAAAAATAATTTGCATTTCTAAAATAATATTTGATTCCATAAGACATTTTATGCATGATCACTTCAGCTAAGTTCTCCAATCTTTTAAAAACTCACATCTGAATAAGAAAGAGGATGGGAGATGGCTCATTAGGTAAAGGCCTTGCCACACCAGCCTGGCAGTCTGATTTCAATTCTCACATAAAAACAAACAAACAAACAAAAAACAAACAAGCAAAAAAAAAAAAAACAGACTCCACAAAGATGTTTGCTTACTGCCCCAGTGCTCCATGGCACGTATGATCCCTTTAAGATGCATGCACTAATCATAAATAATCTCAAATAGAAAATAAAGTACTGGTACATAAAAACCATTTTTCACATTTTGATAAATTTGAGTTGGTAGAACTGTTTGGTTTCTTTTAAAAAGATATTCCCCGTTTTTCTAAGAAATTATTTACAACTGAATGTTTATTAATAAGGCCTTTGTTTCCCATCTTCTTCACCTTTCCTCTCTATAACATCCAACTTGCAAAGCAGACAAAAAAAGAAAGTCATAGGTCTGGGGTAGAGAGCTACAGGGGGTACTTCCCTGGTGTGTGTGAGGCTATGGGTTCAATCCCCAGGGCCAGAGAAGAAGGAAGAGTAGATGGAAGAAGGGAGGACTTGGAAGAGGAGGAGTCAGAGAAAGATAGGAAGAAGAGATGAAGGAATTGCAAGAAACAGAAAAGGAGAAGGCGGCGGATAAAGAGAAAGAAGCCCCAAGGATAACAGAGAACAATGAGGAAGACAAACCCCTTCTTCCCATTTTGGAACAGTATTTACCTTGCCCAAGGTATCTCAAAGTAAATAACAAACACATACAAGGGTTTCTGAAAACCCTATGGCTTATGAGTTTAAATTGTGATTTCTCCTTTCAGAAGGCACGGAGTTTAAAATGGAGGCAATGCCAACGTCATTCTTTTTTTTTCTTTTTTTTTTTTTAGATTTATTTATTATGTATACAACATTCTGCCTCCATGTATGCCCGCACGCCAGAGGAGGGCGCCAGATCTCATTACAGATGGTTGTGAGCCACCATGTGGTTGCTGGGAATTGAACTCAGGACCTCTGGAAGAGCAGCCAGTGCTCTTAACCACTGAGCCATCTCTCCAGCCCTTGCCAACGTCATTCTTACAAAGGTTTCAATCCACCTGACTTCCAACGGTTTTTTTTTTTTTTTTCATCAGAAGGGGAAAAGTCAAAGGCAGAAGTGAGCTTGCAATGCCCTGCTGAGCAGTCATGGAAGCAGGTCTCAGCTGTACAAAATGCTCATAGGATGTTGTAAACAGAGATGGCATCACTGACCAGAGATACACTTTCCATATGTCAGGATTCATAAAGCTCTGCTAAGTGGGAGCAACATGGATTGTAGGGAACAGCACAGGTTGGAGACCATCAAAAGACTTGAAGTGAAAACCATCTTTTTTAAAGGCTATACTGCTGTGTAGAATGGTGTGCCGAAGAAAGCCTTGTATACAACTGTGCCCTAATGGCTTATAAGTCCTTGGTATTTGGAAAAATAGCCAGAAATATATTTTCTGTTTACTAGGACTTCATATGGTGTTTGCTTTATGACCACATGCATGTAACCCGACCTTTCAGCTCCTGTTTTGTCCTCCATAGAGAAGGGATGATAATAGAGCTGAACTCTTAGTGCTAGTGAGCAAGAGAGATTTTCAGCATAGCCTCTGAAATGCATTAAATATTCAATAAAGGTAACTTTTTAATAGCAATGATGTATATATTATTAATGCACATTTTTCTCTCTCAAATATATAAATGCTTTAAATTAAGAGTATAGTGTTATTTTTGAAGTTTAGTTACATTTAGTGAAAATACAGCTTGTTCATTTTGAAAATCTTATAAAAACTACACAGTAGCTGTTTATAATAGCTGATATTGTGCAGCCATGAGCATAAGGTCAAGTTGCACAAAAGTTTATCTGTATTTGAGGCTTAATCATAGCCAGAGAGCTGAGCACTTAGTAGAGGTCCTGGTTATACCACCTTTGCTACATTTTTAGATTTCTCTTTTGTGCTTGCATGTATGAATGTGAGTATATGTGTATTTTGTGTGTGTGTGTGTGTGTGTGTGCTCTCTACATATTAGATACCAGTTCCAAGTCACAAATGATTTGAAGTTAAGCTGAACGAGAGGTCGCTCATGAAAATCAGATTGAGAATTGACCCATACCTTCCACCTTCCATAGCCAAAATGGCCTCATAAATGTTTCCATGTTGTCTAAAATATCTGTAAAATCATCTGTTGGATAGATACCCACATATGTCTTGCTTGCGCCCTTGGGCCTTAGTGTCCCCTACTCTCTTCCATCTTCAGAGGACATGGAAGCATTTGTATACTCCACACCGCAAGGGTGATCGATCACCTAAAACAGGCGGCGAGGCATCCAAGGCAGCACTGTGAGCCCACTCTGTGTATTAAGCCTCTGTGCACCGTCTCTTCCTGCAGGACACTGATTCTCTCCCTTAGCACAAAAGAGTTTTAACAGCTGCACACTAAGAATAGTCATCATCCACGTGAACAGCCTGTGCTCTAGGAAATGGGCCTACTGAAGTAATGCTTGTTTTTTTTTTTTTTTTTTTTTGAATGAGGAAAATGTGGTTATGAAGCTCTTTGCTGGTTTTGTCTCTTGCTTAGCATGATGTCATCTGTATCATGTGCATAGCATTATTTTCTCATGAATATTCATGAGTTCTTTACATGCGATTCAGAAACAGCTTATGAATATTCAAGACTTCTGTACACGTGACTCAGAAACATCTTATGAATATTCAAGAATTCTGTACATGTGACTCAGAAACACTTTTATTTCTATATTCATGGAAGTGACCAACAATCTTATAAATACAAGTAGAAAGGAAGTGGTACAGAAAAGAAATTTAAAAATTGGAATGCCATAAAGGATAGAATAAAATTCCATAGCAAAAGCATGTCATCAAGTGGACAAAAAAGAATTATTAGCTAGAAAAATGTGGAACATTTTAGGTAATTTTTGAGGGGAAATTGTCACTTTGAACTATGTATAGCAATAGTAATCCCAGAAAACAAGTATTAATGGTAGTTAACATTTAACTTAAGAGATTGCTCAGTGGTTAAGACTGCTTGCAGAGGACCCCGGTTCTGTTCCCGGCACCCATGTCAAGTGACTGACAGCTGCCCATAACTCCAGTTCTGGAGGATCCAACATCGTCTTCTGGATTCTAAAACTTAAAAAAAGTCTGGAGAAATGGCTTGGCTATCAAATGCTCGGCTCACAGACAAAAATACAATTAAAAAAATTATTGCCATGTTTGCTATTGCTATTGGTCTTCTTCTTTGAGCCTAAAACAGAAACAGGAAGGTTTGCTTGCATTCTGCCTAGAAGTAGGTATTTAATTAGTGCCAGTGTTGTGAGACCACCCTGCCTAAGCTGATTATATTTGGTGCACATCACCTTTAGTGAACAGGCCGCTCCTCATCATCAGCTATCATTTATGTCATATTAACAGCAAATGAGACAAAATCACATCCTTTGAATTTTGCCCATTTAATTACTCTACTTATGAATGGTACATATATGTGACATCAGTATTTTAAAAAGCTATTAATTTAATACCATCTTGTTAAAAAAAATGTTCCTTTTTACAATCTACTGTGCCCTAGATGTATTTTAGTACAGCCTCAGGTTTGGTGTTCCAATTGAAGGTTATCATTAATACAATATTATTCTTCTCCTTTTTTAATATTTTTTCTCTTTTTTTCTAAATATCCCTCTTAGGTACTAAGCACAAAACAATGCTAGAAGCCCGCAATGGAAGTGGAACTATCAAGGCTTTTCCTCGGGCAGGAATGAAGGGCAAAGGACCTGTTACTAAGGGAAACACAGGCCTCCAAAACAAAACATTTCACTGTGAAATATGTGATGTGCATGTCAACTCGGAAACACAACTCAAACAGGTACCATAAAATTGAAAGCCCAAGAGGCCACCCTGTGAGCTGTCCGTGTATGTTCCTGTTCTCACATTTTTCTTTCCCATCCATCTACCTCACCGTCCATCCATTCACCAGTCCACAACTCATCCATCTACCCGTCCTTTTACCAACAAAACCATCCATATAAACATTCATTAATCTACCATTCATCTAAGTAACCTCCCATCCACTCATCCATCAGTCTATTCATCTACTACTCACTCATCTACCTATCCTTCCAGTCATCCATCTGCCCACTCATTCACTAAGCCATCCAACTACCTCTTCATCCACCTGATCACATCCATCTGATCACATCATCTGATCACACCCTCATTTATCTATTATTCACTGTTTTTACGTTAGCATTTGCTTAATTTAGTTGTTGAGAGAATACTAAGATGCAATGGTAAATAAATAAAACCTGTTGAAAATTGTTGGCAATGAATTTGTCTGTTTCTTGTGTAGGCACTTTGGGAGAAACAGCATTATGTGAATTTTTCTCTATTGAGTTTTCCACTGAAAACTATTAGTATTCTTTAAAGACCAATCTATACTGTTCTATTTTAACATACTTAGATAGTTTTATACTACAACTAATTTCATATTGCATTGTTCTTTTATTGTATGTCCTTTTTTATTATTCACTGTACTTTATTTCTAATTCCTACAAGCACCTGTTGATGCAATGACTAACAATGGGCACTAACTGTCCTCCAAATAGCCTCCTAAAGAATGTGGTAGTACATTGCCAGCTGAAGGTTCAGCCCTCATATTGTGTTGTGTTTTGTGGATGGATGATGTTTTGCACCTTAGTTATTTATTTTTAGAATTTAAGGTGTTGGCATTTGGCTGCACAAATATGAGGATAAATATTAGTATGGAAATTCATTCATGCTTGTCTGGGCATGTTTGTTTATTTGCACATAAAATTCCTTCAGACATCCTGTCCTCTGTAAATACTTTTGGGAGATGTGTGCTGTGATAAGGCAAAAGCAGAAGAGAAAAGAAAATTGCTTTATTTACTGAAAGTATATTAAAAATGATCATGTAAAAGGCTTCGGTATCCAAAGGCAGAAGTGTACAATGCTCCTTTCCTTTTATCTTTGTGAAACTTGCCTGAAATCAGCATCATCTCCCTCCAGGTAAGAATAATACTCATGGAGGTGTTCTAAATGTGTTTTTGAAAGATGTCATTTTTGTTGCTTTCCATAGCACATTAGCAGCAGAAGGCACAAAGACAGAGCTGCTGGAAAGCCCCCCAAACCAAAATACAGTCCCTACAACAAACTGCAGAAGGCAACAAATCCACTAGGGGTGAGTGACACTTTTGCTGCTTCCTAAAAGAGAACATGAAGTTATTCCTGCCCCACAGTCTGTCTTGTAGGTGTTTGGGGTGGAGGTTGTCAGTTATTAGGTAGAATGGATGGACGATACTGAGGAAACTAGAAACAGTTGAATTTCTGGTCCAGCCTGGCCTCCACCAATGGAACTCTAAGTCACATGGCTTATTCCAGTGTTTTCCACCTTTATCCTCAGCTCATCTATCTATTTAAGCTAAGATTTGTCCCTGAGCACAGAGACTTGAGAAAGTGTGGCTTTTGAGCTAAGTAAGGAATGACTTAGAATGTGGTCTTGATGGTATTGAACACTTTCAAAAAGGATGTCAGAGATGGATGAGTCCTTAAATTGTGTTTCTTAAGTTTTGTCTGAGCATGTTTGTTATTTTATATCCTCCGGAGTTCATTTTAAAAACACTGCCTCACGGTTATGGTTTAGATTTTGTATAATGATGCATTGGAGGACATGTAGAAGCCGAGAGAAATGGGTCCTAGAACATGTCCTCTCACAATATGTCAGCCGTTCTTTCTAGAGTTGACAGCATGGTGGTGTGACTCATGTCATTTTTAGAACAATTATTTGCTGCAAGACATTTGCTGAGTGTATACTGATTAGCACAGTATCTTCTGTACTTTTCCTCAAAAGAGGGACCTCATGTGGTGGTATAAATTTTAACCAAAATGCAAAAAATTGTAGAGTTCCATCTCTAGAAGATGCTTTAGCATGCTTGGGTAGTTGTCTTCTACCTTTCCAAAGTGATCAATTGTACAGTTTCCAGTTTTTAGCCTTCCACCAGTACTTCCCTTTGTAGCTGCTCACTACTAAGACCTACCATTCTGGATTTCAACTATAAACTCTAAAGCTTTTGTTCTTGATCCTTTAACAGTTTCTTTCCTTTGCAGGTAAAATTAGTATTTTCAAAAGAAGCTTCAAAGCCACTGGCTCCCAGAATTCTCCCGAACCCGCTGGCTGCGGCCGCAGCTGCAGCTGCTGTGGCAGTGAATTCCCCTTTCAGTCTTCGAACTGCTCCAGCAGCCACCCTCTTCCAGACCTCAGCACTTCCTCCAGCCCTCCTGCGGCCAGCTCCTGGACCCATTCGGACCACCCACACTCCTGTGCTCTTTGCTCCTTACTGAATTCCCCGAACAGGAGGTGTTGTACTGCAATAATTTTTAAGACAACAAAATGAAACTAAAATCAAACAAAAGAGAACTATGCAGTGTTTATTTATAGTTTCCAGTGTACCTGAAGAGCCAGGACTTTTGATAGTAAAATGAAAAGGTTATTTAAAAAAAATAAATAAATAAAAGTGAGGGGGTAGGGTGGAGGGAGGGGAGGGAAGGAGTGGCATTTTCTCCAAATTAAAGTATTCTTCTTGAACACTGTTTGTTTTAGAAGTTATCTCCAGCACTGACTCATAGTGGTATCTAGAACTTCTGAAATCTTTGTGACTGTGCTTTTTGGGCACCTGTTTCCCCTGCATTGTCTTTCCTGCTTTCTAAAACAAGTATACATTGTCTAAGGGCATTAACTGGTTCCAATGTATATGTAATAATTTACTCTGTAGATTATAATAATAATATATATATATAAAAGAAAAAAGCAACAAAAACAAAAGCAACACTGTGAATAGTAGTGCCCTTGCTGGTTCTCTGACTAAGATAGCAGTTCCTGGGTATGTATCCAAGCAAAAGTAGATACAGTAGATGTCTTGTCAAACAATAGTGCTGTGTCTCAATCTTTGCCTTTAGGTTTTAAGGAATTGCAAAAAAAAAAAAAAAAGGTAGAATGAACTGCTATTTCATACCTATTAATCAGTAAAAAAAGAAAAAGAAAACAACAACGAAAACAAGCAAACATCAGATGCTATCCTGAAAGCATACATGGTCAACAACCCCTCCTGTAAACGTAGAGGTAGAGAGGCGATAAGACAGACACTTCATCACCAAATCCTACTTTCTCACTCAGAACAGGCATTGCTGGCGGAAGCGAGGTGTTTGAAATGGCAGTGTATCTGAACACATATCACCCCATGTGCTAAGGGCAAGGAGTAAGAAGTCAGTATAACCTTTACTCTAACATGAGAAGCCATCGGAACCTCAGTTGATGTTGTCACATGAGCACAGATTCACAAAAGCAGAGAAAACTAGCCATCTGCAATAACCCTTTATGTCATTCTAGAGCCATAGCAGAAGGCTTTGCTTTAAGTAGAAATGTATGAAGACAGACGTAAGTGTGAGCTTTGGTTGTGTTTATTGTTATCTTTTCCCTACTGACATGATATAAACACCTAACATACTTTTAAATGCTAGTACTGTCAAGAAAAATTAATCTGAGTTCACTGCACACCAATGATAGGGCATCAACAAAGTATATTAGCAAGGTCCCCTAGACCATCGTTTCTCTAGTGGCATTGTGAGATAAGAACTGCCTTTATATTCACCACAGAGCTGAAAGTAATTGATGTTTTAACTTAAAAAAAGATTTATCAGGGGAATATATATAAATATATATATGTATGTATATTGTATATATGTTAGAAAGATTAAGAAAATAACTTATAAAAAAGAAGATCTATATGAGATAATTCTATAACCACTCAGTGTTACATGTTATCATTAAATTGGTAACAAATGGCATGAAATAGCTGTGCCTTTAATTTGCGATAAAGGCAGTGTGCTTTTTCCCATAGAAAGCTAGCTTGCCCCTGTGGATAAGATGGGGCCGGATGCAGACAGATTATTGCATTCAAGAAAAATGACCTTTGACAAGAGAACAAGAACAAAACATGTACACATCAGCCTTCTGTGACTTAGGACTAAAAATAAAACAAAAAATTATTTTTGAAAAGGTTTTATAAAGACTATTTAAAAATATAGGGATGGATTGAATGTGGCCTTCCTGGAACTTCTTTCATTTCAATTGTAGTGACCTTCGGAGAGGAACCGAGAACTAAGGAGTTCCTGGAGAGAGAGGTGTTTAGCCCTTGTCATTTATATTTAGAGAATAAGCATAGTGTGCTTGGTGCTGACTGTTAACTGTGGTCTTTTGAGAATGTTTCCAGTGTCTAGCTGTAGAACTTGTCTCTAAGTGTATCTTTAAAGCAGTTGGCTATATATACCTGTTACTTAACAAATAACCAAAACAACATTTTTAAAAGAGGAAAGAAAAAGATTGTTAAGAAAAACATGGAAAGTAGAAGGCAAGCAAGATTATGAAAATATAATCATTCCATCAGTCTTTGGCACAAAGATCTTTTAGACATATCTGCCATTGAACCTAGTGATTTCTCATTTACAGTCTTTCCAAGCATGGCCTTCTGTTCTAGCAAGCATTTCTTTCATTTATTTCTTTTTTGCCTACGGATGGGGCTAGTTCAGCCAGGTGGACTTAGTTACCCAGAGTTTTTTACCATGTGACCAGCATCTCCTAATTGTGTTGGGTTTATTTTCTTATTTGGTTGCTCACTGAACTCACTGCATCTCAGGCCCTGCACCCGACAAAGGCCACTGTGCTCATTACCGATGCAGTTCCATCATCACGTACTTCCATTGTTCCTCCCATTTTCACCAAAGTGAAGGAACCAGTCTGCAAGAAGTCAGGGCCCGCGGACCACATGGCATCCTGGGTCACAAGGCGTTTAGTAACTCTAACGGTTTGCTGGGAACAAACAAATCAGCCATATTTTCTTCATCAGCCATATAAGAGCACTCAGAAAAACCTGGACCCCGTCCGCCTCACTTCGCGACGGAACCTCTTTTGTTTAAATGGTCTCTTAAATTGGAGTTTTAAGCATCAGTTGTCGTTTATTCACTACCTAATAAAGGATGAAGCCTAACCATTGAACCTCCAGTGGCTTCTCTGTGATTTCTTCCTTCTGCCTTGTTTATCTTTACTCAATCAGCATCTATTACCGTACAGACTGCTAACGCCTTAGTCTTTCCCCTGGGGAGTTTAGCAATGGTACTGTGAAAATCCCCGAAGGCTGTCTGACTTCAGGGTTATACTTCCCTTTCTGTGTATCATACCCATTGCAGGTGTGATCTGGGAGTGCTTTATATTTCATCTGAAACAATATAAATACATTACAATTGTCAAAGACCCTGCAGAAAACATTTGTGCCATACTTGCAGAAAATTTAGGACAGAGCAAAAGGTTCTTGGGGTTCTACTGGGTTTTTCTCCTGCAAAGATAGGCGATGGGAACGCTGAAGAAAGGTTGTTTCCATTCTGTAAACAGAAAAGAAGTGGGTTTTGGCAAATTCTCCAGCCACTGCCTCATTGGAAAGGACGGCTCTCGTTCTGTGCTTTTGGAACCTCTTACCATGACAAAAATTTATCGCTATGTGACTGGAGACATAATTTTGTTAGCAATGAAATAATTGGTGAAGATGATATAATCTTTATTTAGAACTCAGGAGAACAAGATATAATAAATCAAGGATTTTTTTAAATTTTAAAGAAATAACATTTTCAAGAAAAGATATGGGAGTGCTAGAGAGAGAGCCCTGCATGCATCTCACAGTATCCACATAGAGGAGCTCACAACTACCTCTAGCTCCAGCTCCAGGAGATCCATAGCCTATAGGTGTGTCTGTACTCCGTACACCCCTCCCCCCAGACACATGATTGAAAACAAATCTTTAAAAAGATAAGGTGGAAGCCACTGTGGATGTGACTGTGTACATCTGCAAACCACTAGATTCAACAAGGCTCAGCAATTTGTTCTACTTGCAGCTCAGGTTGGAGTGAATGTCTCTGTGTCTTCATGTTTCAGCATTTCTGAAACAGCCAGCTTCTGAGGGCTGGGGATACGGGTTGGCTGGCAGACCTTATGAACCACCCAACATGCCTACGTCCCTGGATTTGATTTCCAGCACTGCACAAAACTGGACTTGGTGGCACATGCCCGTCACGTCAGCACTGGGGAAGCAGAGGCAAAACGACCAGAAGTTCAAGGATTAAACAGTACGTCCAAGGGACAAAATGTACTATTCTTTTCAAAGAAAGAGAGTCAAACAGAAACCATACCAAGATCAGAGCACGAGTGGAAAGTGCAAAGGAATCTAAAGGCCTCTATTCTGTGTGTACACTGAAGGATATAGCTGTATGTCTGTATGGGAGCATGGGTAGCACTTACTAATAACTATTGTTCTGCAAGGCATAAGCATGACAGGCTAAGCTTAGAGAAAGTGAGAGTCCGTTTAGTTGGTGGTACAGGCCTGCAGTCTCCACCACTCAGGAGGCCGAGGAAGGAAAATTGTAAGCATAAAGCCAACCATAGCTGCTTAGGTAGTGCCACCTCAAATCAAATAATATAAAATAAAACTTTGGCGGGGGGAGAGATGGCTCATAAGCATCGGTTGCTCTTGCAGGACCTGCATCCAATTCCCACTATCTGCATAAGGACACACAATCATGCATAACTCCAGTTTCAGGGGTTCTGACACCTTCTTCTAGCCTCCAGCACCAAGCATGCACATGGCGTATACAGGGAAAATATTCACACATATAAAATATTAAAAAAATAGATCTTTTTAAAAGTTAAAATTCAACAGTGCTGGGGACTGACAGAACAGCTTAGAGAGTAACAGTGTTTGCCATCAAGAAAACTCTTGGGACCCAAATAGTGGAAAGAGAAAACTAATGTCTTCAAGCTATTCCATTTCCTACACACACACACAGACACACAGGCACACACACAGAGACACACACAATACAGTAGTTACCTTGCTTAGGGTTCATGTTGTTGCAATAAAATACCATGACCAAAAGCAACTTGGGGAAGAAAAGGTTTATTTCACCTCCTCTTCTACATCACAGTCCATTATCACGGAAGTCCTGGTAGCCATGGGTTGTCACAGCAGGCAGAAGCTTAGAGGTAAATAGGAAGCAGAAGTGAAGGAATGTTGCCTTGGCTTGTTCCACCTAGACTGATTAGCCCACTTTCTTCTACACCCAGGTCATCCTCGCAGGAACGATAGGGCCCACAGTGAACAGGTCCTTCCACATCATTCATTAAGCAAAATATTATCTCATATACTTGCCTACAGGCCAGTCTGTTGGAGGAATTTTTTAAATTAAGATTCCCTCTTCCCAGATATGTATATGATATTATATGTTTTCCTCAAGTTTATGAAATAGCAACCAGCACAATGGTTTCAAAAACAAACAAACAAACAAACAGGGCTGGGAATACATTTCTGTACTAGACTGCTTGCCTAGCATGCATAAGGCCTACTAGTATTGTAACACACATACTAGCACACACACACTAAAGGCGAATCTCTAT